CACTGGGGCGCGCAAGGGAGACATTTGCTGCGTCACTCTGAGCTCCCTCACTGCATGGAGCTGAATCCCTCTTTATACTGAAGTCTCTAAGCTCAGCAGAAAGACAGCAGGCTTTCAAAGACGACACTTGGTTTGTTTGTTTATCAAGAACTATGTCCTCCGGACATTCCATTTGTACTGAGCACTTTGCTTCAGGTTCCTTCCTGCCAAAGGTCAGTTAAATGTGCAATGCAACATCTCACCAGCCCACCATCTATGTAGCAGGCATAGAGGCAGTTTGACCAACACAGTCTCCCCTTTAAAATCACTCTTGCTTTTGTTGGACACATAGCTTCCTAACAAAACACTGTGGAATTACTCCTGCAAAAAGGCAATTGTTCTCTTGTAGTCTCGGCACAAGGACATTGCAGATTACTGCAGCATCTGCTATAAGCACCCTGGCCCTGTGCTGCAGAATAACCCAATGATAACACCCAGGGCAAGCTCAGGTGTCTTATTTAAAGATTGACATGATGGTGTCAATCAAGGTGGTAGAGTGGCTGCTGCCTGCTATAAACACCCTGGCCCTGCAGAATAACCCAATGATAACACCCAGGGCAAGCTCAGGTGTCTTATTTAAAGATTGACATGATGGTGTCAATCAAGGTGGTAGAGTGGCTGCTGCTCCACTCAACTCGCTCACCTTGCCTGGGCTTATGTTCCTCCCCATGCCAGCGGACACACAGAATTCTTTTCCATTCATAGCAGGGACACTACCGCAAACTCCCAGGTTAGAGAGGAATGCTTAATGCTGTCCCAGAGATCTGCGATGCTGCAGCTCACTGGCTGACAATGGGGCATGCTGTATCATTAGTTACAAGAGAGCCTAATGTTATGGATGGTAAAGGGTAATAATTCATTTTGGGGACTACCGTTATTCTAGATCACCACTGGACCCTGTTCATGGTCATATGTTAGAAAGGAAGCATCAAACTCTTGGAGGAGAGTAGGAGAAAAAGTAAGGCTCCTGGGCAGATGTGGAGAAAATCAGAAAAAACAAAAAAAGGAGTTGATGAAGCCACTGCAGCATGTGGACATTGAGTACTTTTGTGAAGTGAGGTACACTGGCTGAGCTGGAGAGTGACAAAGCTGGACAAGAACTGCACAGAGTGCTGCAAGCCTGATGAGGCCTGGGCCTGGAACAGCCATCAAAAAAAAAAAAAAAAAAGAAAAGGTGGCAGCATTATCTCATTGTTGCCAACATAGCCAGCTGCCTTGTTTACAAATACAAGTTAATTAATTAATACCTATTTTCTTTTGAATCTTAAAAAGAATTTTTTAAGATGAAGGGAATTAGTAAGCCCAGCACCTCACACCCTCTTATTCAAAGTGCAAGCATTCCACTCTAGTGGAAGAGCCATGCCAGGACCAGATTTGGCTACGTGTGTGGTTTTGCGACAGCTTATGAAACAGGCTTTGCGTCTCCTCCCCCCAGCTTTCGTGCTTAGCTATAAACTGCCTTATAAAGAGAGTTACTGTTACGAGGCGAGGCGGGCAAGTGACTGTTTTTTTCTGAACCTTTACTTTGTCTAATATGTTTCAGATTTCTGCAGTCTCTGCCAAGCCTTTCCATTCCCTTTCTTTTTTCTTTTTTTTTTTTTCCCCCCCTAAGACATAAACCAGTCTTATGACTGGAATGGCATAGCCAAGAAAAACAATCTAGGACTGATTTTTAGCGTTACATAACAAGGGGTCAGTTTAAGAAAAAAAACTGTGTCCAAAACAGCAGGTTGAAGTTTGTGCAGCAAAGAATCAGAGCTCTGAAGAGAGGAACTAGAGAAACCAAGCAACTGGTGTAGGAAATCTAGCCCTTTTCACCTTGGAGTCAATACTTTAAAACTCTTGAGTTGATGATATTTGAAAGCTACAGTGTTTGGTTTAGCTTTGTGTAAAGACTTCACTATATGAGTTTCATTTGTTCTATACATGGAAAAAAATGCCATCATTCTAACTGGTGGTCACAAAGAATGCAAAGGAAGAAGAGATGAAAGACCACTCTCCCACAGCTAGCAGAGCCCCTACCGCCACCACCACATCTTGAATTTAATTAAAGTGCTGCATGGAAAAGCTTGCATTTCCACAGTCAAACTCTGTGTTGAACACAAATATGACTCCAATACCTAAAGAAGCCCATCTAGCATCTTTTACTACCAGAAATTTTTAAAATAAAGGAAGAATTCAGATATTCATCATTGTATGTCAGGAATGACCTCTTCCTGCTCCTCTCCCCTCTCCAGGCAATTTCTACCAATTGCCGGTTACCTTCCATTCTAGCTGACTACTGTGAAAACCTGAGGTGCTGTTGTTTTAAGTATGCAAACTCTGTTAATTATTACATGTTAACTAGAATCATTATCATATCTACAAGGCTATGTGAAATGTCTGCAAACATACCTTCATCTGCTTGACTGTGTATCGCATTGTTCCAAATGGTCCATCTTTCATGAGCTTCTTCCCCACAACTTTAGCTCGGATCACTGCCACAAGAGAGGAAAAAATAAAAAAATTATAAACAGCCTCACACAACATTTAGGCTAGACTGTCCACTTCAAAAAAGCCACTTAGATAAATTATTCTGTAAAATAAAACAAAATTCCAGGCCAACCTTCCTCTCAATTTATTCTAAATCTCACACACAATGAAGGCATGTAAAATGGGATGCCAAAGCAAGTATTTATTTAGAGGAAGTCCAGTTCTGTGTGAAGAATAAGAACAAGCATTATTTATGTTGAAATCTTATGGAAATCTGCAAAGAAGACTATAGTTGGGACCAAGGCAGGTTAAAATCTTTGCATCAAGCCACTGGGACAGAGTTTGCATTTAAGGTCTTCACTCACAGCATATGGAATGATGTTCACCAGATACAACTTTTACATTGTTCTTTGTGTGCCCCATGCAGCTTCTGTTTCCCAACAATACAGTACACCTCACTGCAATATCCCGTATCTGGGGACTTCAATATAGCTGCCACCTTTCAGATACCACAAAACTCCCAACAAAATAGCTACTGTGCAAAATCAGATTGTTCAGCAACCATCAAGCCCACAGTGAAAGCTCCCAGCCCAGCCAAAGGCACCTGGAAGACAAACTAAAGCTGACCCATCAGACCTCAGGTACACTGCATTTCATTTCTTCAAGGGTACTAAGGGGCAGTGTGTGTGCGTGCATGCACACAGCATCCAGCCTCACACAGATACCTCCATTGTATGACAGACACACCACAGCAATGCCAACTGAGCCCAAACCATCATAGATAAGGTTTTTGAGGTCCCTCAGATGGATCTAGTGGGTAGTTTAAAGTCAGTGCTTAGTGAAGAGATCTCCTGCTCATCTATTTTTGGGGCATTCCACACAAAACACTACCATTCCATCTATCCTCTTTGAAAAAGTTCTGCAATTACCTGCTCATCTCGGCAGAGCAGCAAAGCTTAGTGACAGGGCTGGCATTATTCAGCTAAGGTTCGCTCCCCTAGAACAACTGTATCACATTATACAAGCACCAGAAGTAGCTTTATTTTTACAAGGGCTGCAAAAACTGAGATTGGAGAAGACCAATCCTGGGAAGAATAAGGATGACTGTTTAAAAAATGTTGCAGGCCAAATGCCATTCATACAAACAACAGGACAAAAAAATTAAAAAAGGAACTCAAAAATACATCAATCAAGAGAAGCATCAAAACTACAATATAATGGTGCAAATCTTACCTAAAATCTTATTCATCAAGCTTCTCATTACAAGGGCTATGAAAATGATTCCAGCAGAATAATCCAAAGAATGCAACATACTCATAACACAACTGACAATTTAGTAGTTATATATAAATCCTCCAGAAACACCTTTTTTGTGGAAGAGATGTCAGATACTTTTGCATAAAGCTCGTATTGGTACACAATTGCAAACAAAGCACCTCTGCTGCATGTATGGCCCAATGGTTCCAGACTACTGAAATCCAGCAACTAAGACCACATACAGCATTTCCTCTCAGCCTATAAAGGTCCTGATTGTAACTCCCTGCACAGGACAGAGGTACTGCTTTCACAGGAATTTTTTGCAGCATTTAATCTGTGTTTTGCTGAATGTATCATATTAATGCATCACAGAAAACAATTCATTAAAAAGCAAGAAGGCATGGAAGGGAGACAAACAGATGGAGGTACTCCTCTGCAATCAGGAAAACCCAATGAGTTATTACAGCACTATCTAAAAGCAGCAACAAAGTCCAGGGATCTATTTTGCTAGATATATAGGACATTAAAAAAGCACCTTGTTGATTCTTAGCTCATTTAGGTTTCACACAGCTGTAGAAGCCCACTGGAAGAAACAGGAAAAAGAGGAGATTAAGTTTTTGTTCACTACCTAGACCAAATTAATGAGGCAAAAAGCTTGCCCCAGGTTTCTGAATAATCTGAAGAAAAGATTTAAAGGAAGAGATAGGTCTGGTTATACACACCAGTTCCTGGAATTTGTTCTATAAGGATGGTGTGAAATGAAGAAAAACTCACTCTGCTCTGATTTATATCCTGTGCTTCAGCCAGACTTGTCAAATAAATTTTAAATTAGGTAAGACAGTCCTGCTGGCTGTGATTCAAAGGACCAACAAAACCTTCATTCATTGAGTGTAAAACTTCATTCTTAATTTTTTTTCAAACTTCTATTATCCAGTGGGAGTAAAAGCCAGAACAATTTTATTGATTCTTCTGTTTAACAAGTTGTTCAGACTTTGATTTACTCTCTTCAAAATTTAGTAGATATATTGAAGCATGTCCTTGAGGACTGCAAATGTCTCTAAAGAACTAGGTTCCTTCCTTTGTTGCTCCCAACCACCACAACCACTAGTGAAGCTATAAAACCCGGACTGCCTAAGGGTCAATGAGAAAGAATACAATTTCTTTAAGGCTTTGTGAATTCCAGAGCACTTCACTAATGCTGGAATCTATAGTAAAGGGTATCAAAAGTCTATCTTCATCTATTGCATATCTGATACACCGATTGAAAAAGATGTGTTTGACCAACACATCTGAAATCAACAGTGAAATCTCTTGTCTTACTGACAATGATAACAAATATACTAAAAGGCAATATTGCAAGATGCTAGGGATCCCAAACCAGAACATGCTTAGTATAAAAGGTGACAGGCACATTCCAAATTACTGACAAAACATCTAAAATCCCATTTTCTTCATGTAGTTCACTGCTAGCTTGGCGGACCTTTAACTTCTAGTTAGAGTAGCACAGCCACTTCAGAAAGAAACCAACTTTCATTTATGGACTAATCAACAGCTTCACCACAGGACCAAAGATTCAAAATGCACATCTACGCTAGCACATAACAGCATCACAACTTTAAGTAACGCTACCCTGGCAAGCAGGTGGAAGGATCTGTATTTTCGTATTCTCGTTCCACGGTAAAGTTACAGAAGAACAACTGTCCTAGAAAATTCACCTAGTAAAAACCATGAAAAATCTTAGCGTGGGCTGTCACTTCAAGACTTTTGCAAATGTGTCAAGCCCTCTGTATATCAGAGAGGTTGCCTTTATCACACAAATGGTAACTTTTCTAGGTAAGCTCCTTCCTTCACCAAAAAGAATGAACAAAGAACCCAGCCTCCCTCATTTTTCCCATATTAAAGGAAAAGTCAAGCTGTTTGCCAAGGAGCAGAGGATACTCCAACTTAAGTCCAGCCCCTCTATTTCGTGAGGTTAAATTCCCACCCCCTGAGGATTAGATGTATCTGGATAACAGATGAGAAATGCTGGATAGACAGGACTGCTCAGAGGTTGCTCTTGCATGTCCAGCTTCATCACCCTAAACCTCCACGCATGACAGACGTTTGTAAATTTGCCCAAAACAGAGCTCCAAGCTACAGATCTGCAACCACATCTTTCCCAGTTCCTATCTTTGTTCCTTCAAACCTCTGCTCACCAGTTACAGTGCTGCACCACTCTTCACACCTAGTTAGAAGATAAAGAACATTGTTCCTAACCAAGTGGGGGCCATGCGTACTTGCCAGAGGAATTTTTCACCCTGTGCAAATTATCAGAAATTTACAGTATTTCTGCTGCAAATTCAGTCCATGTTATGTTAACAAAGTCAATTGTTTACTGCTGGGGACTCCTACTGCTTGAGCACAACGAGGCAAAAGGTGCTGTGACTGCTCCCTTGAACTCCTTCCTTCTCCCTGAAGCTCTATTACAGTCCTGCTATTACTGATGGGAAACTTTATCCCACACAAGTGGTCTCCAAAATAGCTGCATATTTTTAAACCACAATTCCTTTGAAGTACTGCCTATGAAAACACTCCGAGATGAATGTTTCTCAGTACTTTGGGGTTTCAGGTCAGGTCACTTTGTGGGACTGGAGCAGTTGGCAAGGTCTCATGAGTGATTTGTAATTATTTATGAAAAGTTAAATTAGATGAGGATATAAATCTTGATAAGGTAAGCATGGCAGCCATACCATGAGTCAAAGAGGAGAAAACATATGTGCTGCTTCTCAACATTTGACATGATTAAAAAAAATGAGGGAGAGAACAGACAGAAAGAAAACCGGACATTTAGTTGATATTCTAAAAAAAGCAATTATTAAGAAAATAACAACCTGCTATGTTTGAGGATTCAAGAAATACATCTAACAGTGTATCACAAATGATTAATGTATTTATCTCTTTTCCCTTGCCTTTTTTTTTTTTTTAATGTAAGCTAGCTTAGTATTTAGGAAAACAGAGATGGCTCAGATTTGCCACAGGACTAGTATATTGCAAGCAGCTAATGGTTTGTATTTCACTGGCATCTCTAGCACGGTACAAACTGTCTGCATGTGCATGTATACCCATAAAAATCACATCTTTTCCAAATGTCACTGGATGGGGTCTTATAAAGGCAAACAAATCAGAATGGGCATTGTAGAGAAAGGCCCCATATGCACTTTTGTTTGTCCAAATGCACACATATCTAACTCAAGTACTCTTTAACTTTATCCCCTACTCTGTGGCCATTTTCTCAAGGATTCATAGAAAGAGTAGGTCTAACAGTAAGGTATGAAGCAGAAGAGGACACTGGCTGTACAACTGAAATAGCAGAAGGCATTCTTTTCACAAGGCAAGGAGTAGACAAACAGGCAATGACCGATGTGAGGGAAGTGGACACTGAGATTAAGACAAGCATTTGCCAACCTGAGGAAACATCACGGTGAAAAGACTTGTAATTATCAAGTCATTTCATCCAGGCACACACTAGCTACTACATGGGTAGTAGCTCTTTTTCCCAACTGAAAAGCAAAGGCACCAACTGCCTTAGTTCAATTCAGCCTGTGTCCTTTATCGGCGCCAGCCACTAGATGGTGACACTACCACAAATCTCACCTCCCCTTAACGAGAGGGCAGTGGTACATGCACAAACTAACACCAGGAATCCCAGCTGCATGCCCAACTGCACCATGAGAAACAGATGTTTTCATACAAGTGGGCCGGTTGTCAT